AGGGTCTTAGTTTTATTACGTGGGGGTCTTAGTTTTGTAGGTCTTAGGTCTTAGTTTTGTAGACACCCGGAATCTGGATCTGAAATCAAAATTGCAATCCGACCCCCGGTTTAGATTCTACGCCATTTTGAAGTTTGAAATTCGCACTTGACAGTATTCACGATGCAGATTGATCAAATATACTTTCAAAAATTCCTGCATACCCTACTTTACCTCTCTACCTACTCAGCTACTTATTTGACTACTTACTCAATTACTTAATTAGTTATTACTTACTTAGCAACTTACTCAGCTACTAACTCAGGTACTTACTCAGCTACTTACTCAGCTACCTACTCAGCTTTTTACTCAGTTACTTACTCAACGACTACTAAGGTACTTACTCAGCTAATTACTCAGTTACTTACTCAGCTCTTTACTGATCAATCTAGGTCAAATAAATCTGGAGTCTTAAATTGAACTTGTTCAATTTCACAAATCTAGTTATTCTTCTTCTTCTTCCTCCTTCCCAGATTTCTCACCAACTAGAAGAGCTTACTTTAAGCTGCTTACATGATCAACTAGGGAATGTATCTGGCTTTCTGGGAAATTAGGTCAAATTTTTATCTAGGTCAAAGGTCAAGAACTAGGTCAAATCCAGTACTTTGTCACTTTTTTCAATTTTCTCGGTCGTCCTTCAATATTTTCAATCCGGGTTTTTTTCATTGTGTTCCTCATAAAAAAGTAGGGGAAAACAGGTCGATTTAGTTTTTTGATATCTCAAACCGATTTCGAGATATCAGTGTCCGAAAACGAGGTCCAAAAAAAAGTTCTCCCAATTCAATGTCCACGCTACTGGTCTTGTAGGAAATTTTCTCAGGATTCCGAATCTGAAAACCAAATTTCGATCCGACTTCCGGTTCGGAAGTTATATCGTTTTGAAAGCTCAAAAATCGCTAAATTTGGTGCCCATGTTAAGTCAATGGGAAAAAAGATTTTTTTGAAGTGAAAAATACGAAATATAGACTGAGTTCAGCTAAATATAATGGAAGCTTTTAAAAGAAGGGGACCTCAAAAGCCATCTAGCTTAAAAATTTGGACACAAAAATGCCAAGGTCAAAATCTAGGTCAAATTCAAAGTTTTTCCTTATTTTTGCGATTATGACACTACACTTTAATTATATTCTTCGAAATCGTGTATACATGTAGCCAAGAGTGTGCTAATAGTGTTAGCCTTTTGCCGTCAGGAAGTATTTTGACCCACTTTTGAGATATGGTGTCCCAAAAGTAGGTCAAAATAAAAAAATCTTCAAATTTAACTTATGAGTTATGAATCAGGGGTGGAATTTTGTCAGGAATCCGAATCTGCAAACCATATTTCGATCCGACTTCCGGTTCGGAAGTTATGGCGTGTCCAAAAAGTAGGTCAAAATAAAAAAATTCTAAATTTATCGTATGAGTTATGAATTAGGGGTAGAATTTTATCAGGAATCCGAATCTGCAAACCAAATTTTGATTCGACATCTTGTTCAGAAGTTATGATGTTTTGAAAGCTCAAAAATCGCTAAATTTGGTGCCCCATGTTAAATCAATGGGACCGAATAATTTTTTGAAGTGTAAAAATACAAGATATAGAATGAGTAAAGCTAAACATAATGAAAGCCCATAAAAGAAGGGGACCTCAAAAGCTACTTTCCTTCAAAATTTGGACACCAAAATACCTAGTTCAAAATCTAGGTCAAATTCTTAGTTTTTTCTTATTTTTGCAATTCGGACACTACACTTCAATGATATTCTTCGAAATTTTGTATACATGTAGCAAAGAGTGTGTTTATAATGTTAACTTTTTGCCGTCAAGAAGTTTTTAGGCCCACTTTTGATATCTGGTGATCGAAATGTAGGTCAAAATAAAAAGTTCTCCAAATTTAACGTATGAGTTATGAATTAGGGGCATAATTTCCTAAGGAATCCGGATCTGAAATTAAAATTGCAATCCTACCCCCAGTTAAGCCATTTTGAAGTTTGAAATTCGCAGTTGCCAGTATTCACGATGCAGATTGATCAAATAAACTTTCAAAAATTCCTACATACCCTACTTTACCTCCCTACCTACTCAGCTACTTATTTGACTACTTACTCAATTGCTTAATTAGTTATTACTTACTTAGCTACTCACTCAGCTACTAACTCAGGTACTTACTCAGCTACTTACTCAGCTACCTACTCAGCTTTTTACCCAGTTACTTACTCAGCTACTTACTCAACTACTACTAAGGTACTTACTCAGCTAATTACTCAGTTACTTACTCAGCTCTTTACTGATCTATCTAGGTAAAATAAATCTGGAGTCTTAAATTGAACTTGTTCAATTTCACAAATCTAGTTATTATTTTTCTTTCTTTTTTCTTCCTCCTCACCAAATTTCTCGTCAACTATAACAGTTTACTTAATCCAACTTACATGGTTAACTAAAGACTGAAACCGGCTTTCTGGGAAATTAGGTCAAATTTTTATCTAGGTCAAAGGTCAAGAACTAGGTCAAATCTTACATTTTCAACATTCTTCATCATATCTTCGTCAATATTCTTCGTAACTCCTTCATCTTTTTTTCATCGTGTAGCTTGGAAAAAGGCGAATCAAAGATATGACATCAGAATTTTGATTACTCTTACCGATTTTGAGATACGGCGTCCGAAATGTAGGTCACGCTTAAACATGCTCCAAATCGAATGTGTGAGCTATGAAAAAGATGTAGAATTTTCTCAGGAATCTAAATCTGCAAACCAAATTTGGATCGGACTACCAGTTCGGAAGTTATGGCGTTTTGAAAGCTCAAAAATCGCTAAATTTGGTGCCTATGTTAAGTCAATGGGAAAAATGACTTTTTCGAAGTGTAAAATACAGGATATAGACTGAGTACAGCTTAACATAATGAATGCATATAAAAGAAGGGGACCTCAAAAGCTACATAGTTTCAAAATTTGGACACCAAAATGCCTAGGTCAAAATCTAGGTCAATTTCATAGTGTTTCCTTATTTTTACGATTCTGACACTACACTTTAATAATTTACTTCCAAATTTTGTATACAGGTAGCAAAGAGTGTGCTTATAGTGTTAGCCTTTTGCCGTCAGAAAGTATTTTGACCCACTTTTGAGATATGGTGTCCGAAAAGTAGGTCAAAATAAAAAGTTCTCCAGATCCAACGTATGAGTTATGAATTAAGGGTAACATTTTCTCAGGAATCCGAATCTGCAAATCAAATTTCAATCCGACTTCCGGTTCGGAAGTTATGGCGTGTCCAAAAAGTAGGTCAAAATAAAAAATTTCCAAATTTAACGTATGAGTTATGAATTAGGGGTGGAATTTTGTCAGGAATCCGAATCTGCAAACCAAATTTCGATCCGACTTCCGGTTCGAAAGTTATGACGTTTTGAAAGCTCAAAAATCGCTAAATTTGGTGCCCCATGTTATGTCAATGAGAAAAAGGATTTTTTGAAGTGTAAAATACCAGATATAGACTGAGTACAGCTTAATATTCTGAAAGCCTATAAAAGGAGGGGACCTCGAAGGCTATCTAGCTTTAAAATTTGGACGCAAAAATGCCTTGGTCAAAATCTAGGTCAAATTCATAGTTTTTCCTTATTTTGGGATTCTGACATTACACTTTAAGGATTTGCTTCAAAATTTTGTATACAGGTAGCAAAGAGTGTGCTTATAGTGTTAGCCTTCTGCCGTCAGAAAGTTTTTTGACCCACTTTTGAGATATGGTGTCCGAAATGTAGGTCAAAATAAAAAATTATCCAAATTTAACGTATGAGTTATGAATTAAGGGTAGAATTTTCTCAGGAATCAGAATCTTTAAACCAAATTTCGATCTAACTTCTGGTTAGATAGTTATAGCGGTTTGAAGTCTCGAAAAGTCGATATGATGATATCCCCATGTTAAGCTAAAAGAGTCGAAGATAGCCTTCTTAAAAGTTGTCTAAATGTCTATATTCTAGCTGACTCAGCTTATTCTGAATGACTCAGCTTACAAGTTCTGGATGACTCAGCTTAAAAAAATGTGAAATCTGGAGTCTTAAATTGAACTTGTTCAATTTACATGTCTAGTTATTATTTCGATCCAAACTCGCCGCCATGATTTATTTACACTTGTCCTTGACAATATTACTACGCGTCTTCTAAGAAAAGCATGCGCATAAAATCAAAACAAAATCAATAAAACAACATTAATTCAAAATGTGTGAAGAATTTACTCAAATTGAGCACGTTTTATACAAAGTGATTACATGAAGACATCTAAATCCTCTTATTAAGCCCGATAATACTATATTCTGGCAGTTCAATCAGGTAAGGCTGTTATTTATCAAACCATTTAGGCGGTAAATTAATGAAAAATAGTATTCGTCGGATACGATTAGATATCACGTCATATGGATCGGATACGATTTTAGTGTCATATACCAAAATTATCTTGTGTTGTTATCCTCATATATATTTAGTATCCATGGGATAAAGTCCTTTGTTCTAAATGGTAAGAGTCGATCACCATTCACAAAAATAGATAGCTTGTATTGTTGGAACTTATACACTTGATAGTTGAAATTTTGTATGTTCCCAAGTTCATCCTCTAGTTCAATGCTTCTAATTTGTCTGTTCGAAAGGTATGATAAAGTATAATATTGCTTTATAGTACTATAATAACCATACATTTAAGAATTGTCTTTGTATCTTACAGAATACTATAAGGTATCATGAAATCTGCTCTGAAACCACAAACGAGAAAGACGATTTTCAAAAATTAATCAACGTTTCCAACCTTGAAAAAATTGGGACAATTTAGAGGCATAGGAAATAAAATCTAGTTACATCTCCACCGTCATCAAAATAATATTATAGCAGATTATGTGAATGAAAATTCACATGACATGAAGGAGCTTTAACACATTGTCCAATGGGAGAGCTACATGTAAGGGAAGTGTACTAAAATAACCTAATATTGTTTTTATACATTTGTAGGAAAATAGAAACAGACACATGGCGGTTCGTTTGTACATCGTCCTTATTGTGCATACGGTGCTTGCAGCAAACAACGACACGGCCCGAACTGCCAAAGGGACCGAAGAGTCCATTTCAGAGGCCAGCATATCATTGGAAAACGGGACATCGTTCGGAGTAACAGAAACACCCAATATTGTGACGGATAGGGAGGAACATAGTACGATTTCAGCCACCGCGGAAGTGAATTCATCATTGAACAATAATGGAACGAATTGGACAATGGTTGGAAATACAACCGATGTAATGACATTGAATGTTTCAACAAGACGACCTAGTTATCTTTGGTCATACTGTAACAAGACCGGGTATACCCCATACCAGTTTGACCCATACTGGATTTGGGAACTGTTAATGGTAACTAAGTTGTACCTTAAACTCCCTCTTGCAATAGTCGGTGTCTGTGGTAACATCATCTCCTTTATCGTACTAAGGAAAGAAAATCAGAACACCAGCACCTTTTTACTTCAAACCCTTGCGATTGTTGATTTGTTTCTATGCATTAATTATATGATTCATGAGGTGGTCATGGTTCTATATTCCAACTCTTTCGCTTTACTTCCGTATCGAACACACCCGGTGTATCAAAACTGGAGACGAATCGAGCCCATACTAGAACTATATTTATTGCGCTTTTTTGAAATATTAAGTGCATGGCTTATAGCTCTGATATCCATCGACCGATACATTGCTGTCTGCAAGCCTTTCGCAGCACCTACATTAAGCACTATCAAGAGAATGCGTTTAGCTCTGTGTCTCATCGCTCTCGTTGTGGCTGTCCTCTGTCTCCCCAGAGTTTTATCTTTAAAAGTTATTTCAATGTGGTTCCCATGTAGAGACGAAGACTATTACTATATGAAGGGGAATGAGATGTGGTACAACGTGGATTTTCAATTGTGGTTCGTTACTGTCACTTATGGTGGTTTGACCCTGGTCTTGCCTATGGTAATCGTGGTTGTTGTACAAGGCTTACTCATACATCATCTCCGTTTGGCGAGTAAGAACAGGGCGACATTGACTGGTGACACCAAAGGAGCGTCGAAAGCAACCACTAATCTAACGTTAACATTGGTTGTCATCGCTATTGTCTTTTTCTTATGTATTACACCTGAATTTATGGTCTTTATATTAAACGTTTTACAATTTACCGATTTGGAACCCGAAGGCTACAATGTCTATGGTAAAATTATTTGGACTGCCGTTGCTAATTTGTTTCGGTTTTTTAATTCAGTCATCAATTTCTTCATTTACTGTCTTGTGAGACAAGGTTTCAGAAAGCAGTTAGTTGGTATGCTCTGTCCTAAATGGAGTGCAAAACAAAAGTCGACAATTGGGCAAACTTCAAGGGACACTAAGTCTACAGATATAAAGATGACAGATGAAAGTCAAAAGTATTAATGGTTTGAATCAATTTTGCTCGAATCTCTCTTCATATTACCATAAGGTGGTAGTGAAACGTATTAATGCAGTTAAGATGTTTGGTCAATCTACTCAATTGTCAAAAAATTCCTGATCACAAATGGGCCACCTTAACAAATTCTTTAAAAATTGACTTCCGGTTGTAATATTGGAGGCAGGTGAACAATTCGCAGAAGAATGATATTCCCCAAAGTGCTTTGAAAAAGTATGTATCTATGTATTCAATATCTCAGAAAACGTATATGTTGTCATATAACGTACATCACTCTGGGCGTAACCGCCATTATGTTACTTGTAATTCCCGCAACATTCAAAATTGGACAGTGTTCGATATAAGTCGAGTATTTTTAATTTCGTGATCCATGGACCTAATGGAGCTACTACAGTTATATTATTGACATTTATAACTCGATTTCAGTCAGTTTCAAATTACTAGTAATCAAGAGACAAGGAGCAAAGTATACTTACCGTTTTACGTAATCTTTACTTCATGTCCTTGAACCCCACCCCTTCCCTTTACACCTCTGATCGATATAGCTATGTACGAATACAGTTGCTATTATACTGCTTACGTTAAACCCAACATACACCAATTGGGCACGGTGGGACCTTCATAGACCTAATATACTGCCTGGAACCTAGTAGGACTTCATTAGATGTTAATGTAATTGTTAAATTCGTATAATGGTCTTCAGTATGAATGAAATCTCCCTTATTGTCTTTGATTGTGATAATGGTTCCTGAATGGTTGTTGAGGGGGTTTTGGACATTGTTTATTCACATATAGATTGTAGTTTAGGATACTATGGGTTTTGGACAATTTGTTTATGCACATTTAGATTGTAGTTTGGGACATTTTGGGTTTCGGACATTGTTTATTCACATTTCGATTGTAGTTTGGAATATTTTGGGTTTTTGAATTGTTCATTCACATTTAGATTGCAGTTTGCGATATTTTGGGTTTTGCACATTGTTTATTCACATTTAGATTGTAGTTTGGGATATTTTGGGTATCGGACATTGTTTATTCACATTTAGATTGTAGTTTGGGATATTTTCGATTTCGGACATTGTTTATTCACATTTAGATTGTAGTTGGGATATTTTCGGTTTTGGACATTGTTTATACACATTTAGATTGTAGTTTGGATATTTTGTGTTTCGGTTTTGGACATTGTTTATTCACATTTAGATTGTAGTTTGGGATATTTTGCGTATTGGACATTGTTTATTCACATTAAGATTGTAGTTTGGGATATTTTCGGTGCTGGACATTGTTTATTCACATTTAGATTGTAGTTTGGAATATTTTGGGCATCGGACATTGTTTATGCACATTTAGATTGTAGTTTGTGATATTTTGAAAATTGGTCATTGTTTATGTACATTTTAATTGTAGTTTGGGATATTTTGGAGATTGGACATTGTTTATGCACATTTTGATTGTAGTTTGGGATATTTTGGGCATTGGACACGGTTTATTCACATTTAGATTGTAGTTTGTGATATTTTTGGTTTCCTTTCCTTATACCTGATTGTACTCGTAAATGTTTAATTTCTTTTCATTTCTGCTTGAGACTTAATAATATACTCTTAGATTTTTTATTTTCTTGCGGCTTTTGTTAGACTTTTCAATCTTTCCCCTTTGCACTTGTGGATTTATATTTTACCATATTACAAAACACATGTATTTGTTGTACGTAAATTATTTTATTGATACTATACAGATATTCACAGGCATATGCCAGTAAGAAGGTGTTCATCATTTAATCTTGCTGCATTTCCGTTAAGAACTTGAGGAAAGCTCGATTGCATTGCACGAAATGCCTAGAAACCAATTAACATTGCATCATAACGGACTACAAAAAATTGGATAACGGACAACGATAATGAATCAATGATGGAAATATTGAAGAGCATATCAGCAGATGAAATATTTTCTAAGATGAATGGTCAATAAATTAAATGTTATCTAAAACGTCTCTCGTTGTATGTATATTTTGATTTAAAATCGACTTTGTTCACCATCAAAAGGTGTGTTGTATGGGCGTCCGAATGGGGGTGGGTATGCGTCGTGCGCAACCAAACATCCCTCGTCCCTTGGTCCCAATGGTGCTGAGAAGGAGACTACGAGGAATAAAGAACTATGTGCTCTGGCGTAAGAGTACAAGCTAAAGAAGCTGAATGAGGATAATCATACTATGAATATATACAGGGTGGGCCAAAAAAACTAATACCCCCTTTGGCATTTTCAAACGAGGTACATTTATACAATTATAGTGCAAAATTCAGAAATAGTACTTATAAATAAGCTAATGCCTTGGTCACATATGCTCCGATCCATCGGCCGGCGCCCGGCCGATTGAGTGTTTCGTTCAATATTGTATTCAATTTTGAACAAAATACTCAATTTGCAATCGACAGGGCGCCGTAGTGAAAATCGGAGCAAATGTGACCAAGGCATAACATGGAAAATGTGTTTTTTTAACATTTTAAAAAAAGTGACAGGTTCACACTTCGAGTTCTCATTTCTTAATTACCAGGTTTCTTTACACCTTTTGGTAATTTCCCTTGAGCATTTGCGCTTATATATCAAGTATAACATAAAATTCATTTGTTGAGATTGCATATGAAACTTTGGATTTATTAATATAAATGAAGAAAATAAATTCATGAAAAACATGCTGACTTATACGAGAATTTAAACATACCAAATGTGTCTCATCGTTGGTTTTAGGTTTGAATCTATTGGTGCTTCAAAACCTTCAATGTTCACACTGTTTTTTCCTCAGTCATTTCAAAAACAAACTTCTAGGTCAGATATTTGTGTCACCTACTCATTGAAATGATTTAATGCATAGCTTATTGAATGAATAGATAAATAAATAAAATAAAATATTTTCCATGTTTTTTGAAGTGTTTGTTACAACTACAGTTGCTTTTTCAGTTATCAGTAAATAAATCCATTGTTCACACAAACAAACTCCCAGATCAACGTTTATATCTTTGAAAAAAATTAATTGCCTACATTTTTGTTTTTTACACTGGATAACGCTGCTCAATCTAAAACTGGACTAGTTTATGTTTTAGAAATACTAAGTAGGTGTGTTGAGCTATACTATTCATATTCATTTAAAACTATAAGGTTTTATTTATCAAAATATAACAGGAAGGCAATATAATAAAGATGTAGAAGTTTGCAGAACGTATTCATATTGGTGATATGCCGCCACCCTTTTTGTGGGAATAACACTGCTCAGCCGGTGCATATATCAAAATTAAATGCGTTGCAAAATATTTTTCTTCACATATACCGAAAAATTAACAAACTGAAAAGCTTTAAAGCCGATTGGCCGAAACACACTTGATATGTTCGAATAGACTTTCATGTACTTTCATGCACCTAACTCTTCATGTTCAAAACTAAGAGATAATATTATATTCCAAATAGCCACAGTCCGTAATTGAGTCAGTATTTCCAAAGTAAATATTATCCAGTGCCATCCTGACCTGGAATGTTCCAATCATTGAGTATTTGGAAGATCCATTCGTCGAAGTCTGTGAGAGCGCGTACACCGCTTTTATAATGCCGTCCCATTTTCTTGTTTATACCAACACGCTCCATCGCCATTCTTCCGATGAATTCTAACGCCTAAAAATATCACAACCACTGAACTAATATCGTGAGCCAAAACCATGTCAAATATTTCGCAATGTTGCAACTTGAATACTTTCAAATAAACAACATATTTTATACCTTATTTGCAAAACGTAGTAAATTAAGGGGCAAGTACGTGGTGTGTATGGTAATTCAAAATACATTTTACAATTACATTTTAAATAATATTTATAAAAATTTCGGAAACAAGCAAACATAATAACAGTTCATCACTGTATATTTGATCATATACATATTAAAGATTTTTTCATGTAATTTTATAATTATATATTGTATAAATGTTTAGTCTACTTAAATAAATCGAGACTCCGCCACGTACATAATCGCTACAACGTAAGGTAAAAACCTTTTTGACTCGCTTCAGGAAAATATATAGAAATATTTGAGCATATACATATTAAAGTATTTTTCATGTAATTTTATAATTATATATTGTATAAATGTTTAGTTTACTTTAATAAATCGAGACTCCCCCTCATATATAATCGCTAAAACTTAAGGTATAAACCTTTTTGACTCGCTTGAGGAAAATATCAAAACTGGCAGACCAAGTATCTACTTAAAATGCAGGATTAAAGTCAACTTTATCCTTTTTCAGTAGAACTCAATTTATTTGAGTCTCAATAGGTAGATTCATGTGGGAGAGTATTGGTAGAATCCATATTTTAAAAAGTAAGAATATGGGTTCTTAAACAGGACATTGGTCTTGCTTTTGAAAACTTTCTGTTGGCTCCATTTTAAAACTTTAGTTCTCATAGAAATCAATTGTATGGAGTAATATTTAGAACAATGTATTCTTCTTTTAAACCTAGTTAGACAATAGCATTTTTTCAAACATCACTAAAATAACTTTAAGGGTCATAAACAATATAAAATTAATAATAAAACATAGTTTCAAATTTTGCATGGGCCCTATTACCAGATATTTTGGAAGATATTATACTTGAGATGGCATATGATCAAATCGAACCCTAGTTGACTTGGACATTAGTCAATTTGGACCCAGTTATATTTAAAACAGATCAGAGGCATTTTGCTTTATTTCAATTTCAATTTCGTTTCATTTCAGTTACATATCTCACACAGGTACCCTAGGGCATACAGTGTACGTGTGATAGGATAATGTAACTTGATATCCTAAGATAGAAACAGCAATTAACTTGCTGAATATTGATTTTGAAAATCTCTTCTTCATGGCAGCTCCTTTGTTCTAAGCATCAGCATGTAAAAGTTCCGTTAATCCAAATCCGTTAACTGGTATTTGAGTTATAAAAGATTATGTTTTTTACGAAAAATGGCTACTATTTTAATATTTAGCAGCCATTTTGAAAATCTCTTCTTTAAGGTAGCTCCTTTGTCCCTTAGCATCAGCATATAAAATTTGAACCAAATTTGTCAACTAATATTTGAGTTATCAAAGATTACGTTTATTTATGAAAAATGGCGGCCACTTAAATTTCTGTAAAATTCTTTCTTGAACAAACCTACTTTGTCCCTAGGCATCATCATATAAAATTTGAACCAAATCCATTCACTGGTACTTGAGCTATCAAAGATTACGTTTTCTTACGACAAATGGCCGCCATTTTGATATTAGGCAGCCATTTTGAAAATCTCTTCTTCAGTGTAGCTCCTTTGTCCCTAAGCATCAGCATATAAAATTTGAACCAAATCCGTCAAAGATTACATTTTACGAAAATGGCGGCCATTTTGAATTAAGCGGCCATATTGAAAAGTCCTTCTCGAGCAGAGGTTCAATCGCCATTAGATATAAGCCTATAACATTTGAATCAAATCCATCAACAGGTATTTGAGTTATCGCCCGGACAAACGGACGGACGGACGGTGGGACGGACGGCTTTCATATATCCCCCTCTAACTTCGTTCGGTTGGATAATTAATCATGTTTATTCCCGATGAATCAACATCAATGTTTTTAAAACCTTTTTAACTTTTTATTATGCTATTTGTATGATGTGTCATTTGATATGGTAATGGATACCTACAATATGTACATGAAGATAAACTTTACCCTGTTGCTTGTAATTTGTCACCCCACCAAGACGCATTTAATGAGATGAATACATGAATGACATCATGAGAGTTGCAACTATAGTTACCGATTGGTCATCAGCTGTTCTCGCGAGATCAGAAGCCGTATTGAGGCAGCCACAAATCTCGGTTGTTGCGTTAATTGCATAAAGCAAGGACTCGTCAACACACCAGTCTATATTTGGAGGTGCCTGGAAAACAATATTGTCATATGATTTACACTCCCCTCCATAAGGTTTACAACAGGATATCTTCAATAGATAGCATAGCAAAGCCTGTTGATATTTGAAATTTTATTTTGTTCCTTACTAATTTGATGAGTTGTTTTAAATCTCCAGTTGCAAAGTTAACATACATACGCTTTGATATGTGACCCAAAAGGAATGCTGGTTGCCTAATGACTTATGGGGGGTGTATATGATACTAAAAGATATAATACTCAACAATTTACTAGTTAAAAACGATTCGATTTGATGTTACAGAACAATTCAGAGTGACAATAATTTAGTATAGCTTTTAGAAAAAATTGACCGAACAAATGTGATATTGAAATATTGTTTGGATATAGGATTATTTGTTCTCTCCAGACGACCCACTTCAAAGATGTGAGGAAATGAGTGACGCAATAAAATAGCTATAAACACCCATTCTCAATAAGAATGCAAATTCCAGGTATGAATCTGACGAAAATTAAAGTAGCTTTGAATGGTTTTAAGTTGATGTATTTTTATTTGAATATATGTTAAGTATCTAAAGTCAAAATATCTTCATCAATCTCATACCCCTTCATGGAAAAGTCACATGTTGAAGCTTATCTAGTGTTTATTTAAAAAAGTAAGTCTCTGTCATTTACGTTATAGAGGGTTGTCGTAGCAAGAGACCTATAATTTCATTCAACAAATTATTCTCATGTCTGTTTTTGTTCCTAACAATAAGGATATATTTTGTCTTAATACTTAATCATACATCAGACATTTTGAAGAGACATAAGTGGAAAGAATTCACATTGAAGTCAACAATTACATGTGACTTATTATTCCTTTTCAGAAACAAAACCTAAGTGCTACATGTCATTCCAATTTTATAGAAAATCAGTCTGTTAACATTAAATCTATCTTTCTTTTCTGATTAGAAATAGTGTTCAGAATCAATTGATAGCCATATCTTTGTGTTTGATATGCCATACACAATTTATTTGAAATTTGTATATTGTTACACCCTTGGTAACGTATATGATCCAAAAATAGTAACATCGTAGAATGAGTCATATCATATGTGATCATGGTTAAACCATCAACTGGTGCTTCTTTTATCATGTTTACACTGCATTTTAACCAATAGTAACATTTAAAACAAACATAGTTCAGTGGACCATCAAGTAACGTAAATGATGGAGAAATTAACTAACTTTTGCAATAGAAACATTAAAGCTAACACAAACATTATTTATGCACAAAACACGTAATGAATTAATATATTGTCACATACGCTATATGTTGGAATGAATATATACAGGATTAAAGGGACTTAGTCTTTCTTCACACATTTGTAATGCTAAATCCTTCGTAACGTAAGTGATTACAAAACTTACAATCGCAAGATCAAAACTATACTATATAATTTGTGATTATCGTCAAAAAGTAACAACATTCAGTGTCTCCTCTAATATCATAGGTACATATGAACTCCTGAAAACGTTACTTAATCCTAGCTTGGACATATAAATCCCATAGAACACGAGTTTGAATCTCAGGACACAGATCTAGAGTTTTAATAGCCCTTTAAACTTCCCTGTTGGAATTGACTCCTCTACTACACACTCAAAATCTGAGACTCTCAGCCAAATAACGTAACATTCTAGAGACCATTGGAGATTCTTCTTTTCTTAAAAAATAGTATTTATTATCATCAGTATCTACATGTAGTGCCTTTTCGACATACCAACAGTAATTGTAAACTGCAGTGAAAAAATCGCCAAGATGTAGCTCTTTATCTCCACTCTCAGTCTGCATGATGGCCCTGTCAGAATTACTCTTGGATAGCTATGTTGTCTCTTCTTGTATGTCATTCCTGGTTTGTTTCACTTTTGTGCGGGGCGCTTTTAACACTGTTTATTTGCTTCAACAAATTTATATTCCTTTGCTTGTGGTAAACGTCGAGTACTCATTTCATTTTTGTCCAGCCAAGCAAGGCCCTTAAGCTTGTATCACCTTCCATCGCCTTTAGTCATATTATATCAACTAGACTTGAACACTCTTTCAGGCATTTCCCCGCCAGTCATGTTGCGTCTGCTTCAACTCTTCAACTACGTGTTTTCCTCGTACTAATCTTCTCCTCAACTCTAGGGATATCACTATGTTAAAGTTTGCATCGCATCACTTTTCCCCTGCACTCTTTGGTGTTTTGGCGTGCTTGGACCCTTGGTTCTATTTTTCTCTGCTTCTGTAAGATCCTTTGGAATGATTTGTGATTGTTTTTTCCATGTTTATCTATGTTCAGGGAGCTTTGCTTTCTTATGGGTAAGTACGTCCCCAAGTTCTACTTATCTGTTTTCTAAAGAGCCATGCATGTCCTCTTGCAAAATTCCAGGCAAAATTTATATGAACTATTAATTATGTGTTACTTCTACCACTGCCATAAACACGGTCACAATCATTGTTATCAGCATTACTTGGGTCATTGCTAACAGTTTCTCTTCTTTTTGATTTGTCTCCTGTATTATTACGCTATCTGAGACTAACATAACATGTCTCGGGCGCAATGACATAATTTTTTCTTTTATGGTCTTTATCTTTTTCAGATAGTGCACTCAGCTATTGAGACAATGCATTTATGAACCCGAGCACGCTCTTTTTGGTGCTTTTTCCTATCACTATAGTCTTTTTGAATTTCAGCAGGATGCTTTCCCATCTACGAAAAGTATACAAGTTGATAAATGAACATACCTGTAAAGATTTGACGACAGAAAATGTGTGCAATAGAATTTATCAATTACGTTACCTATGGTAACGTAATTTATGACATAGAAAACGCAAGACTATAGCTTCAATTCAAATTGAATGATAGAAAAGTGTTTTTATATTCATTTTCACATTTATACTGACTGTCTTTATGCCATAGATAACATCAAATTAACACTACATCTTCGTTTTACAAGAGAGATACTATATTAGGTGTGATATATACCTTAAATTGTGTGGATTTACTCTACAAAGGTGGTAGTGTTTCTTTATTCAGATTCAAATGAATATGAATACTCAAATTTCCCGCTTTATAAACTTTATTCAGAGCTAGGAGTATGGTAACCGTTATTTTCGTACTACTAGGTATCGTAAATGATGGTGTCGTAAATGATGCAAGTACCCTTTTGCTGGCTGTATTATATTCAAACAATGTCAATTTAGTTAAAAATACTGATCAACAAGGATCACTCCTACCATACAATAAGGTGATATAACATTAATTTGCTCAGACACTTATTGCCTGTGAAAACTATGATCACGTAAATGATTTTCTTATCTATAACTTCATGAAAAACGGGAATTATAATTTTCTGGCCCCAAAATCTCAACGTTTCAAATATCAACTTTTACGACTTTCTATTAAGTATTCAAATTGGAATCCAGATACGTATATGGCACAAATGAAACATTAATTTTTTACCAGTTTTTATATGATTTATAGCACAGGGGGGTTGATATAAAAAAGTCTGGCGACATTGGTCAAGGAACAGTTTCAACATGGTAAAAATGTCAAAATGATAGTTTCTGTCATTTAACCAGAAGCTGGGATCGTCTTGTGTATAATACACCACTTTATATGGGATGTTATGCATGAAAAATTCTCTAATGGCACCATACAATCCTGATTTTTGATATGGCGACAGTCACGTAACTGATGAATAGCCCTATTCTAGTACATATAATAAAATATGTGTAACTGAGAAATCATATATTACAAACGTGCTAGGTAGAGGGTCATATATACTATTTATATATACAACAAAAAGTGATGTTGGTAATGTAAATGCTGAGATTGAGCCCTGGGTCACCTATTTTGCATTCTTATTGAGAATGGGTGTAAAGCACAGAATGTAGAAATTATAGCACATAAATAAAAAAGATGTAAGACAATTGCCCAAACGTACTGGTATGGCTGGAATAGAAACGCAACCCCCACGATCATCTATGAAGTCGCGAACTAATTCAGCCATTCGTATTTCATTAAAAAAGAATTCACGGAACTCATCGCCAATATTCTCCAATGCGACGTCATCTCTACGGAAATAATAGTACTGAAAATAAACATCATGGTCAACAACATCAATACAATCGCATATAATTATTGGGTACCCGAACAATGCAAAGATAATTTCCGGAAATGACAACAGATAATATAAATATTATGTTCTTTTGGAAACGGTTCGTCATAGATGGTTTGACAACCTGGAAAGAAAGGTAACACATGATATAGGGCATGTACGACATGGTGGTAGAGCAGTCGCTCGGGACCTACGGTCATCGGGCAGATATATTTAAATTGACCTCGGAATAATCCAGATATCCTGAACCTCATATAGGATAATCTCTATATACTGTATTTTAACTTACAATTTCGTGATAGACGTAACTATACTGCATGTAGAGGTCTGCGCATTCATTTAGTTTTGTTTCCAAAGCACTTCCTCTGAAGCTATTTTTATCTATAACTGAGGTGCGGCTTGCGCATGTCGATGGTGCTAAAATTAATTAACTTTTAAAATAAATTTCTAGTGGAAAGAGTCGCCGCAAAATTATTCATGAAATATGCAAGAATGGGTGTTTGACCATTACAAAAGACCGGAGGTCCCATTTCATGGTTAATACTTTCAAAAGTTGAAGTGTCTCTTACACCTGTTTGTCAACACAAGCGTATGTAGCTTTGATCGATGAAAAGGGGGAAATATCCCAAAATTCATCCAATTTCTAATTAAAGATAAAATTAACACAGAGATGTTTGAATCTATGAATTTTGGGTAATTCCATAGATCAACATGTGAGAGAATGAAAAAATGATTTGTAGAGGGCCAGAAGTATTCAAGAAATAGAAATAATCTTACTATTGACCAAGTCCTTTTGAAAAATCTTATTTCTTGACCGATTTTGGTAACATTTTCATCATTTTTGTTTTATTTCTTGCAATTCTTAAAAGAATGGATTTACTTGTTGATTGTACAAGATGTAAAGAAAAGTTGACTACTTACCTGTGTCACCGTTAGACTTAACCACAAAAACTGCAAATCAAAGAAGATTTGGTTGTTTGGTTGTTTGAGTTTAAAACTAGTTTGTTTGTGTTTCGCAGCTGTTATAAATAAATACTCTTTGGTACATAGCAAAATAAACGTAAAGAAATTTGAAGAAAGGTATTTTTTTCAAAACCAATTATAGAATTACTAAAGCGGTGATTTAATTTCTTTAAAATTAACCTTGTTATTAATCTTTCAAGTTTGCATGCGCAAAAACCGTGTCGTTCAATTGTGGAGATAAAAGAACATCCTCTCAATCCACTATACTACCTCCCTTTCCAAACATGGGAAATCGAAATATTTTCCAGCTTTATAAGTAAAAACGAAGTCGAAGTCAATTGAATTGATTTGAACAACGAAAGCTGCCATGGCAATGGCTTGCATTAAATTGTTGTCTGATTGATGTAAGTTTAAAGAATTAGGCCACCTTGCATATACCCTGGTTCATTATCTTTAAGAATCAAATACTTAAAACAAATTGAAATACAATTGAAGTCTTGAATTATATGTGTTTCTTTTAAAAAGAGCAACTTACCAACCAAACACGTCAGCAGAATTGAAGACACGTCCGTCATTTTCTGACCTAACTGAAATATAACCATTATAACTTAAATGACAATAACTTACAAATAGTTGATTCAGAAATTAATTATTGAGATATACTGAGTTGAGATATATTTAATTCAAAATCAAATGAGAAAAAACGCACCTTCTATATGAATCCAAGCAATTTCCCATCCTCTGCGGAGATTAGTGTTTACTCCCTATATATACCAGATTTAGTTAATCGCCACGTAGGCTCGGTATGTTAATACAGATCGACTTAAACGTTTCATCTACGTCAATCATTTGATCAGTGTTTTTCGAGAAAATGTTTTTATTTGCAACACTGCAGCAGACACCATTGGTGACTTGATCGCCGCGAAGAATCTAGCTTGTCTTGTTAATCACGTTATCACTGCTATGTAATTGTATTTTCAGCTCAAAATTGAGATTCAATTCAAGATTTAGTAGTAGACAGGTTTTTTAGGCATTGTTCGCTTCTGGGTTTGGTTTCTCGCACTTGTATGAAGGTTAAATGCACGGAACTTGAAACACATTTTTACGATAGGAGTGATAAATCAAGTATCACAAACATTTGGAAATCTAAACTGTCTGGAGTAGGATGTTGCAGTAGACATGAAAAAAGTTTTAGGCCTTTCATATGTACGGCCATCTGATGCATTGCATTGACCACTATATGACTTTTTCTTAGTTACTCTACTATTACACCGAACTAGTTCCCAAGTTACGTTCTCGAAAACGGGCCTAAACTTTGTCAAACGAATTGGACGTACTTAAACAGACAGATTTAGCCCGTTTATTACTTTTTCGTAGGACCGGAAAGAACGGTTGAGAACGAGTATGTTGTGATAGGGGGGAGGGGGGTTATGTACATGTACTACAAATTCATTAGTCACAGGGATGATTTTACCTATTGGCTCTACCGGTGACACCATTGTGCGATCTGTTCAATTATATGTAAATATTTAAGTCCCCGTCTAAAGTCCTTCAAAAACCACTTTTTAAAATTAAAAAAAAAGTTTCACATATCACACTTTGATAACATTGGGTAAGACTACAATATAAGCCAAAGTGGTTTAAACTTTATAGGGGGACTTTAAAAAACGTTTACTAATGTCCCAGAAGGATCATATTATGTTACTTTCTTCATTTCTTCTTTTGTCAAAAACAACACTTGATTAGTATCAAAAATATTATATTATACTAAATTACATATCTATGTAAAATGTTTATGTATGGAATTTTCAAAGATGAGGTAATAAATAAACTGTACAATACAATACAATACAATACAATGCAATGCAATGCAATACAATACAATGTAATACAATCCAATGCAATACAATACATTAACACAACACAATACAATATCATATACTAGAATACAATGCAATGATACAATACAATGTATCATAATACAATGCAATACAATACTACAATACAATACATAACTATACGATACAATACAATACAAAAAACAACGCACGTATAATCATTCATTTTATTATTCATCTTACTATCAAAAAAGGATTTGATACCATCCCACATGAATGTACTAGTTGAGATTCAATCAACTTGAGTATATAGTTCTGAAAAAATGAGGATTTTAGCAAGGATGCATTGACCTAATATGGAGATATACATGATGGTATCCCGATGCTAAGTCATTGGTCAATGTTCTATGTTCCAATGAAAAGACGTGGAAGGACAGTTAGGATCTTTCGTCGGTCTCTGTTAAGCGTTTCATGTTTATGACTCGACGAGACTCGACAACACGAGCTTCTTCAATTGACTTCGAATCCAAGAGGAAATAGCCAGCCAGTGTAAACCTACCCTTCGAGATACATTTACATGCTCGTTGAAAATGATGTCTTTGGAAAAATAGCAAGAGCTACGATATTGTTTTAGAATACACGATTATAGATTAGTATGATCCGTTGGTACTTAGATTAGTTGGTGTGTTTGAACTGTCTTAAACAAATGTTTTTTCATAAATAAATGTTTTCAATAAAAAATATATCTGCTTTGCAAATAAATGAATTTGTCAACAGCTTCGACTGTCATCTGCCAGCTAATCGCTAGTTTCAGCTTTGCATTTAATTGTTTTACAAAATCTGTGGCTAGCTCTGTGTGCTACATTTATTATCGCAAAAATTTTTCTTGTCATGTCATTTTCCAAAAATCAAAAACCATATCACACCTTACTCGGGTCTTTGAGTCATACTTTTTTAAGGCCACGTCATTGTGTTAGGTGAAATGTGTGTACAGTCTTAGGGGTGAAACATCTTGATGTGAGATTCTTCGGGGTAAAATATCTTGAAGTGAAATCTCTGATTTAAAACATAATAGGATGAAACTTCAGTTGATGAGACATCTTGGGGTGAAATACAAGTGATAAATGAGTAACAAAATTTTGCATTTCAGTAAAATTGCAATTATTGTTTTATTTAAAGAAACTATATCCCACATATAAAATAATCATAACATATTTCAACAGGTTCGTTCAAATTATTCTATTGCCAAGATATCACTGCACATGTGATCCAGTCGATTACGCTGACTAACGAAACAGTTCGATCGGTAACAAAATGTCGGAACAGCGAAGATACAATCTTTCTTTTTTCCTTATTTCACACGTTTTAGGCAAAATTCCCACGACTTTTTTTATCACACACGTGTATCAGTATCATATAGCAAATGTGCATATTTACTAACAAATTGTTCAAATGACTACAGAATCGTCGATTTAATTCCTCACTTAAGTTACATAAACGTTATTTCGAAAAACAGTTAAGATCTGCACTTTTAACCTGTACCGTTTATGTAACTAAAGTGAGGAATTAAATCGACGATTCTGTTGTCTTCTGAGCTACTTTTCGCAAACATGTACATTTGATAAAACATATGATACTGATACACGTTTGTGAGAGAAATGCCGTGAGGATTCTGCCTACACAACGCGTGTAATAAGGAAATGAGAAAAATCGACATTTTGTTACCGAAACGAAAACTGTTTCGGTAACAAGCGTAATCGAGCGGATCACCAGTGAATATTATATGCCACCGCGACAAGGGCTATATAGAAATAATGGTAGTCTCCCTGAACACAGTACCAAGGTCAGTGCTTCCTAGATTTATACTCTGTGGATTGTGAATCAGTGATTATGGTAAGTAATAAGTTTAAAAAGTCTTTAGGAATAGCAAGAGTAAGTCTATCGGACTAGAACACCGTCAAAACGTTCACGGCGGAACTACTAAATATTGCTTGGAAATCGACGAGATGATGATTCGTATTTGGAAGCCGGAGATGCATTTCTTTGACAGAACATACAACGTGTTGAATTTTGTTATAATCCCTTTGGCTCGTGACTATTTGTCAGCACTTTGGTGGTACTTTTGATTAAACGGTTTGAGATCTGGAGTGGCATATAAATGTTCATCCGCTGAAGTGCTAACGTTATCAATAGGTGTCGCGCTTAGTTGTTCCGATGCATACGGACGCTGGCTAGTTGGGGACTTGCTGTCGTGACTGTTGCTATCATGGTCCACCTCATCGTCATCATCGCCAAGACCTCCTAGCTCAGGTATTGTCAATTCTTCCTCTGTGAATAACTCATCAGGAAGACGCTCTGGTAATTTGTACGCCTCTTTAGAGCCGGCAAAGAAAGCAGGTTCTGCATTTTGGGCAGCGACGGTTAACAATGGAGGGTCGAAGTACTGAATAAATGAGGTTAACATCGGTTTGTGTTGGCGTTTGCCAACAAACATCGGCATGAGTAGCTCACTGAAACTTTTCTCTTCTTTTTCTCCAGAATCCTTGGGCATGATATCATCGGGCATTGCTAATTTTGTTTTTGGGAGTTTTTTAGGCACTTTGCCATCTATCATTCTACTGTTCAGATCACGAATGCTTCTAAAATATGTCCATGTAGACCCATCTGATGTCAACGTTTTTGGTCTGCGTTTAGTTTGTAAAATTTCAGGGTGTACGTATTCATTATTCTGCCGTCTTTTACTTTCCAAAAGAGTGGAGGACTTTTCTCGAAAGTTCACTCGACAAATTTCTCCTCTAGCAACTTTGTTTTGTATCTGATAAGTAGTCATATCTGGCAAGTGTTTATTTAGCAAAACAGACGTCTGGAAATTCTCAGCAGATACTCTGAGACTCGGAAACGCCTCATCACATTTTACGGTATCCTTGTAGCGTTCGTTGATCTTTGAGCATTTGTGGCAAATATGAGGACCTAGAACATCACAGCATTGTCTAGACAGAGCGTTGATTGCCGTTGAAGTACTCGGATTTATAGTGCTCTCAGCTCGGATGCACATTCGAGATCGAGAAGGAACGCTCATGATATGAGTCTCAGAGTTGGCCGTGGTTTCGGAGTTTCGTACAAAGGGAACAATACTCCCAACTGGCTCTGTATGTGGACGATTTGTACCTCCGTAACTATTAGGTAAAGATCTTGAAGTAATATTATCTCTATATCGTCTATCTCTCGTGTAACTCTCACGAGATTTTAAACGTTCTCGTTCTGCTAAACCATAAATATCATTGATACTAATTGACGTCACCTTGACATCATTTCCTGTCGGGGATTTCAGAATGGATACCAGTTTATCTGGAGAAGTTGAGGCTACCCTAGACTTCCTGTGCTGGTACATCTTGAACTGACCTTGTCTCCCTGTCTGCCCGTAACTCGGGCTAGGGGTCATCATCAACGCCATCTGGAGAAAAATAAAACAACAATGTTATGACATAGAAAAGCTGATATAACATCTTCGATCGTTTAATTTTAAATGTGTATACAGTAGTCCATATCTATTTATTCTCTCAGTTGGAATTGTTTCTCCTTTTGCATATTTACCAGTAAAGTAAATTAGGAATTCCATTATTCTAAACGCTGACTTTTTCTATGATTTATCAGGGAATATATCCCCGCAACCATAGCTTATTATACCGCCTAATCAAATGAACGTCGATAGGTCCTAATACTTAACAGTTGGTAGGTAAACTTCAAGAACTATTGAAAATCTTTAGGTAACCAGAGAAATGGGAAATACTATAAACAGTTCTTTGTCGATTCTATTCAAATATAATGATTGATTGTGTTTACAGAAATTCTATATTTGTCAGGAAGCCACCTTAACCATGGAATTATAAGTTGAATCTTAGCCGAGACTAATATTGAACATGTATCAAGGATCAATGTATTTAATTGGATACGAATAGGGTAACAATTTGAGAGTAAAAACGTTGGAGATCAACAATTAGAATATCGAGGATATTTATATATTCTTCATATCGAAAACACCGTCGCCCATATTTATGGTATAAAGATCAATTTACGATTTATTTAATTGGTTTTAATGTCCTCCTTTCCCATTAAACGAAAAGAATCATTTCAAAATATTTTCAGAGACTTATATGGAGAGAATGCTCAACAATTTTGCAAATATGATCATATTTCATTTCCAATATAAAAATCAAATGTTCAAAATTTGGGCCCACTTTTTGGTTTTAGGGGCCCAACATTTTTTATCAGACCTGTAATTTGCCCCCCCCCTGTTGGTTGATCCCAGATTTGCCCCTGCATAGTATAATACAAAAATGCTCTTACCTTGCTCTAACGGTCTACAATGATCACGTTAAACTTCCTGAATAAATCTTTTGATTGACCATGAATTTAAAGTGTCAGTGGTTCGATTGTTCTTATTCCTCAATTATGGTTTACTGGTAGTAGCAGCCAGTCCTTGTTTATATTCTACCGTCTTGATTGAGGAATCTGAAAAACATTAACATCGTTTAAATGCTTATAGTGTACCTTATAGTGTACTTATATGATAAACGTATACGCTTTTGTCAATAATCTTGATATTGGTCTAATGAAACTATTGTATATAGATAAGAAAATGTATTTTAATGGTTTTAATGAGTGACAAAAGATAGCGTACCACTAGGAGTGGATTCGACTAAATTATGTTAACATACAGCAATTTTATTTTGGTTTATTGGACGTTCATATATTGTAAAGTTTATTTCGATAAGCATTAAGTATATTATGAAATATCGTTTCTACAATTCATGACTTTTATGTTGTTTAGAGCATATATATGCATAAATATGAGAAGTTGTAAAAGGCCTGTAAAGGTCAATTTATTTTTATTTGTATTCCCTATTAATTTGAAAAACAGTGTAAATATCTTGTTTGTTTTGAACTCTGTTCCAAAGAATAATCAACGGTATAAATGTTTAGTCATTGTTTATCTTATTTGATGTTTATGCTATTCAGAGAGTATAATGCTATGATAAGACTCGATTAATACCAATACAGAGATAGTGGCCAAACAAAATGAGATACACGTCGTACTGTACATGTAGGATGCGCACGATGATATCAACTAACTTGATATGACGTATTCGCTAAGTACAGGGTGGTAAAAAAAATGGAAACCCTTACACCATTTTCCTCATATATTTGTCATTGTAAGAAATAACTCCCTGATATTTTGCACATTTGTACATCATTCAATTTCCTACCAGCTTACTTTATTTCCCGACCATCAGATTGATAGTCACAATGTTACAGCACTTTACAGAACATGCCCTAGTGGCCACTATTGCGCTGTCGGGCCACCTGCACTCGTCGTCCAAAATGTCCCTACCTGTGGGGATATGGCAAGGAAAAAGTGTATGAGAATAACCTCAGGACAATCACAAACCTCAAAAGTGAGATCATTCGTATCATTCAGGCCATACCTGCTGAGGAATGCATTCAGCCCATCGACAACTGTACAGGGTTGCCTAAAGCGCGATGATGGCCAAACTTGAAGCATGTTATTCAAAGTGCTGTGAAATTGTGACTATCAGTCTGATGGTCATAACATTTGGTAGGGTGGTAGGAAATTGAATGATGTACAAATGTGTGAAATACCAGGGAGTAATTCCTTAAAATGACAAAGATATTAGGAAAATGCAGAGTTTCCATTTTTTTTGACCACCCTATATGACAAATAGGTTCTCTTAATAGCAGTTCTGTATTAAGTCTCTACTGGTCTCTCTAACCCCCTTCACGATTTAGTTTTTCTTGCTTTTAAGGGGGTCACCATTTTGATTCAAATTCGAGAGTATTCAAAGGCCTATATTGCTATAGTTTAGAGAAAAGGGTGAGAAAGTCTCAAGTCAAAAGAAAAAAATATAACCGAATAAAGAGATACTAGGAGTTTTAGTTTAATGGAGTTTAGTTTCCATGGATCACATTGGCGATCTAAACAAAGCTAACAATATCAATCATCAATTAACTGTTATGATTTGAATTTTATATTAGAAATTGGGATAGGAATGTCGTAAACTTTCCAAATATGACAAGACAGAGGTAAACAGTAGGGCTACGCCGGTATATCAGAATAAAGTAATATCATTATGGGATAAAATATATTGATAGCTATTTCTAATTCTACTAATATTCTAACCGTCGTGTCAACTTGTTTTATTCTTAATGTCGTTTCCAGTTCGATATTTTACAGTTATTTTAAACTTAAAATAAAACCTACCTGCCTATTTTAAACTCACAATAAAACCTACCTGTTTAATGGTTATATACGACACATTAATAAACAAATGAAGTCAGACCCGTTTTGCTTCCCCTTCTCTCATATCCCCCCTCCTCCCGGTCTCGTCCCCCCCGGCCATAAAGCCTTTCAAAATCATGCAGTTTCTCACTATTTAAACCACTTACAAGAGATTAAAGCCAACATTGTCACCCTTTTGAATTTAAAAAAAATCTAAACCCTTTAATCAACTGAACTGGCAAAAGCCGACGAGTTACCCTTAGTTACATGTATAAAGTATTTTAGCTACATGTATACTCACATTTTTTTTATATCTTAATCCATACAGTGACGGAGTATACGTATGTTTTTTTTTATCTTTTTGATTCGTTCAGCACAGCGTTGTTACTCTCCAGTATTTAATATTCATCGTGATCAACACATTTTCCCCTGGTTAGCACTATTTTCATTGAATCGATTTTATGACACCATTTTGTTCATTTTGTTCAACGTACAAGTCCAGGTAGCCGATCGATGTATAAGCCCATGTTGTCAACACTGTATATCAATAGAGGTCTTAACTACGGGCTCTACGTTCTAACATTTTGTAGTAAGCCGATCTGTAAACAATCTATTGAATTATGCTGAATGCATATAATCTTTTTGCTTTGATAAATACATTCAAAGCCACCATTCGAGGAACTATCCAATAAACAGATTATATTACCGTACATATATACACGTCGGGGTTGTTGAGTCCGACCTAATGCTACCTGTACATCACAAATAAATGTATGCATGTCAAACGATAGTAATTATTTAAATATAGTATATTAAATGCCACGAGGTTTGATACAAAAATATCGGCAATTTGATTTGGTCATTCATCTTTATTTGTTTGTGTTGCTATCGCCCCATAGCAACGGTAATATTCATATTTTCAGTTCCAATTTACAACACGATTACAACGACATCTTTTTAATAATGAAATGCCTGGTGTTAATAAACCAATTTTTCGTCGTTCTTTTAATTTGTTATCGGTATCTTACACATGGAACAGAGCTGAAGCCCATCGTATTTGGACCTCCTCGTCAGATACCTTCTCTGTTTGAAAGTAACAATTTGCCACGTGGTACATATACCACGATGGCCTCATACATGTATATCTCAATGAGCTAGAATAGCATTAGATACAAGACTACTCCAGGAAATCACGCCATCTTTTACGTTGACATTTTACTATTAGTATTAACATTTTTGTTGACTTAAAGAATTTCTTAAAAAGTATGACATCACTAACCAAGCGATATAACACGGGTGGCACAAAAAAGAACCGCCAAAAATTGTAAAAATTTCTTTAATATTTTTGAAAAATGTAAGTTCTAGAAATTCTTAAATGTCTTTATGGTGTCAGTTAAAAAACTGCAGTAAATTACTGATACTATAACATGTTATTTGTTGCATCAAATTTTTTATTCATTATGTAATCGGTGATCTAAGAATGTGTTTTGGTTTTACTTAAAGTAAATAAAAATCATATCTGGATCAGTTACAATGGCCCCATATTCCTACGACTAGAATCAAATCAAGAGCACATTTGTTGGGAAAGCTGGACCGATGTAAAAGGGTATATGGTCCTATCAAAATGTTGGACGTCCTACTCTCTATTGATTTACATGGTGACCTAATTACAATTATTTTCCTTATTATTTATACACAGTCAGGGCCAGTAACTCAAATACTGGTTGACGGATTTGGTTCAAATTTATAGGCTTATGCCTTACATATGTCGGATATCTGCTCAGGAAATTTTCAATATGGCCGCTCAATTCAAAATCCATTTTTCGTAAAAACTTATTCTTTTCAAATACCAGTTGGCGGAATTGGTTCAAATTATATTAGGTGATGCCCAGAGACACATTCCAGTGCTCTGCTTTTTGAGGACATTTTAAAAATGGCCACTTAATTCAAAATGGTCGTTAAAGCATGATCCTTGATAACTCAAATACCAGTGGACAAATTTGGTTCTAATTTTATAATCTGATGCTTGGGGACTTAAGAAAAAATTCAAAATGGCTGCTTTTTGTGGGTTTTTTCTCTGCTCCACATACAGACATATATTCACATCCGAAAATATCAAATTGATACTCATGGTGAAGCACGATCCATATGATAACGACGTACTCTCTGAACAATGTATAGTTTAATTAAGTGCGTAACGAAATATCATCCATAATTAGACTCCAGATGAAAATCTGGAGTCTATTGCTTTTGCCAGTTTTCTTTTTATTATTAGACTCCAGATGAAAATCTGGAGTCTATTGCTTTTGCCAGTTTTCTTATTATTAGACTCCAGATGAAATCTGGAGTCTATTGTTTTCGTCAGTTTTCTTATTCTTATTCTTATTCTTATTATTCTAAACCAGTTTTCTCAATAACCATAAGGTTTTCAGTAAAGTCAGTCATTTGGTCAATTTAGGTCCAGAATCTAGTTCCTCGGAAATTGGGTCAAATTTTTATCTAGGTCAAAGGTCAAGAACTAGGTCAAATCCAGTACTTTGTCACTTTTTTCGATTTTCTCGGTCGTCCTTCAATATTTTCGATCCGGGTTTTTTTCATTGTGTTCCTTATAAAAAAGTAGGAACCCTAAAGTCGATTTAGTTTTTTGATATCTCAAACCGATTTCGAGATATCAGTGTCCGAAAACGAGGTCCAAAAAAAAGTTCTCCGAATCAAATGTCCAGGATATTAGTCTTATAGGACATTTTCTCAGGATTCCGAATCTGAAAACGAAATTTGGATCTGACTCCCAGTTCGGAAGTTATGGCGTTTTGAAAACTCAAAAATCGCTAAATTTGGTGCCCATGTTAAGTCAATGGGAAAAAAGATTTTTTTGAAGTGAAAAATACGGAATATAGACTGAGTTCAGCTTCATATAATCAAAGCCTTTAAAAGAAGGGGACCTCAAAACCCATCTAGCTTCACAATTTGGACACCGAAATGCCTAGGTCAAAATCTAGGTCAAATTCATAGGTTTTCCTTATTTTTTCGATTCTGACACTACACTTTAATTATATTCTTCGAAATTGTGTATACATGTAGCCAAGAATATGCTAATAGTGTTAGCCTTTTGCCGTCAGAAAGTATTTTGACCCACTTTTGAGATATGGTGTCCGAAAAGTAGGTCAAAATATAAAGTTCTCCAAATTGAATATATGAGTTATGAATTAAGGGTAGAATTTTGTCAGGAATCCGAATCTGCAAACCAAATTTCGATCCGATTTCCGGTTCGGAAGTTATGGCATGTCCGAAAAGTAGGTCAAAATAAAAAATCTCCAAATTTAACGTATGAGTTATGAATTAGGGGTAGAATTTTGTCAGAAATCCGAATCTGCAAACCAAATTTCGATCCGACTTCCGGTTCGGAAGTGATAGCGTTTTGAAATTTCGAGAAAAATCGATCTGATGGTATCCTGATAGAAAGTCAAGAGTAGAGAAGAAAATATTGAAAAATTCATCCATCCTCCTATCTCATCCTACCCTATCCTTCCTATCTATCCTTCCTTCATATCTTTTCCTTCCTATCCTATCCTATCCTATCCTATCCTTTCTTCCTATTCTATTCTATCCTATCCTTCTTTCTTATTCTATCCTATCGTTCTTTCCTATTCTATCCTACCTTCCTATTTTATTTATCCATCTCTTTCTAGATGACTCAGCTTATTCTGGATGACTCGGCTTATTCTTGATGACTCGGCTAAAAAAAGTCTAGATCTGGAGTCTGAAATTGAACTTCGTTCAATTTCCAAAATCTAGTTATTATTTTTCTTTCTTCCTCTTCCTCCTTACAAGATTTCTCACCAACTAGAAGAACTTACTTTAAGCTACTTACATGATCAACTAGGGAATGTATCTGGGATGATGATGGGAAATTAGGTCAAATTTTTATCTAGGTCAAAGGTCAAGAACTAGGTCAAATCCAGTACTTTGTCACTTTTTTCAATTTTCTCGGTCGTCCTTCAATATTTTCAATCCGGGTTTTTTTCATTGTGTTCCTCATAAAAAAGTAGGGGAAAACAGGTCGATTTAGTTTTTTGATATCTCAAACCGATTTCGAGATATCAGTGTCCGAAAACGAGGTCCAAAAGAAAGTTCTCCCAATTCAATGTCCACGCTACTGGTCTTGTAGTAAATTTTCTCAGGATTCCGAATCTGAAAACCAAATTTCGATCCGACTTCCGGTTCGGAAGAAATATCGTTTTGAAAGCTCAAAAATCGCTAAATTTGGTGCCCATGTTAAGTCAATGGGAAAAAAGATTTTTTTGAAGTGAAAAATACGAAATATAGACTGAGTTCAGCTAAATATAATGGAAGCTTTTAAAAGAAGGGGACCTCAAAAGCCATCTAGCTTAAAAATTTGGACACAAAAATGCCAAGGTCAAAATCTAGGTCAAATTCAAAGTTTTTCCTTATTTTTGCGATTCTGACACTACACTTTAATTATATTCTTCGAAATCGTGTATACATGTAGCCAAGAGTGTGCTAATAGTGTTAGCCTTTTGCCGTCAGGAAGTATTTTGACCCACTTTTGAGATATGGTGTCCCAAAAGAAGGTCAAAATAAAAAATTCTTCTAATTTAACTTATGAGTTATGAAAAAGGGGTAGAATTTTGTCAGGAATCGGAATCTGCAAACCATATTTCGATCCGACTTCCGGTTCGGAAGTTATGGCGTGTCCAAAAAGTAGGTCAAAATAAAAAAATTCTAAATTTAACGTATGAGTTATGAATTAGGAGTAGAATTTTGTCAGGAATCCGAATCTGCAAACCAAATTTCGATCCGATTTCCCGTTTGAAAGTTATGGCGTTTTGAAATTTCGAGAAAAATCGATCTGATGTTATCCTGATTAAAAGTCAAGGAAAAAAGATTTTTTTGAAGTGTAAAATACGAGATATAGATTGAGTACAGCTTAAGATAATGAATTCCTATAAAAGAAGGGGACCTCAAAAGCTACCTAGTTTCAATATATGGACACCAAAATGCCTAGGTCAAAATCTAGGTCAAATTCAAAGCTTTTCCTTATTTTTGCGATTCTGACACTACACTTTAATTATATTCTTCGAAATTGTGTATACATGTAGCCAAGAGTGTGCTTATAGTGTAAGCCTTTTGCCGTCAAAAAGTATTTTGACCCACTTTTGAGATATGGTGTCCCAAAAGTAGGTCTTCCTGTTCGGAAGTTATGGTGTTTTTAAAGCTCAAAAATCGCTAAATTTGTTGCCCCATGTTATGTCAATGGGAAAAAAGATTTTTTTGAAGTGTAAAATACGAGATATAGACTGAGTACAGCTTAATATAATGAAAGCCTATTAAAGAAGGGGACCTCAAAGGCTACTTAGCTCCAAAATTTGGACATCAAAATGCCTAGGTCAAAATCTAGGTCAAATTTATAGTTTTCCCTTATTTTTGCGATTCTGACACTATATTTAAATGATTTGCTTTAAAATTTTGTATACAGGTAGCAAAGAGTATGCTAATAGTGTTAGCGTTTGCCGTCAGAAAGTATTTTGACCCACTTTTGAGATATGGTGTCCGAAAAGTAGGCCAAAGTAAAAACTTTTCCAAATTTAACGTATGAGTTATGAATTAAGGGTAGAATTTTCTCAGAAATCTAGATCTGCAAACCAAATTTCGATCCGACTACTTGTTCTGAAGTTATGGCGTTAGTTTTTTTATTTTGCGATTCTGACACTACACTTCAATGATATTCTCCGAAATTTTGTAAACTTGTAGCAAAGAGTGTGCTAATAATGTTAACATTTTGCCGTCAATAAGTTTTTTGACCCACTTTTGAGATATGGTGTCCGAAATGTAGGTCAAAATAAAAAGTTCTCCAATTTTAAAGTATGAGTTATGAATTAGGGGTAGAATTTCCTCAGGAATCTGGATCTGAAATTAAAATCCCCGGGTTTAGATTCTACGCCATTTTGAAGTTTGAAATTCGCACTTGCCAGTATTCACGATGCAGATTGATCAAATATACTTTCAAAAATTCCTGCATACCCTACTTTACCTCTCTACCTACTCAGCTACTTATTTGACTACTTACTCAATTACTTAATTAGTTATTACTTCCTTAGCAACTTACTCAGCTACTAACTCAGGTACTTACTCAGCTACTTACTCAGCTACCTACTCAGCTTTTTACTCAGTTACTTACTCAGCTACTTACTCAACTACTACTAAGGTGCTTACTCAGCTAATTACTCAGTTACTTACTCAGCTCTTTACTGATCTATCTAGGTCAAATAAATCTGGAGTCTTAAATTGAACTTGTTCAATTTCACAAATCTAGTTATTCTTTCTTCCTCTTCCTCCTTCCCAGATTTCTCGCCAACTAGAAGAGCTTACTTTAAGCTGCTTACATGATTAACTAGGGAATGTATCTGGGATGATGGGAAATTAGGTCAAATTTTTATCTAGGTCAAAGGTCAAGAACTAGGTCAAATCCAGTACTTTGTCACTTTTTCCCATTATCTTGGTCGTCCTTCAATATTTTTGATCCTGGTTTTTTTCATTGTGTTCCTCATAAAAAAGTAGAAAACCTAGGGTCGATTTAGTTTTTTGGTATCTCAAACCGATTTCGAGATATCAGTGTCCGAAAACGAGGTCCAAAAAGAATTTCACCGAATCCAATGTCCAGGATATCAGTCTTATAGGAAATTTTCTCTGGATTTTGAATCTGAAAACCAAATTTCGATCAGACTTCCGGTTCAGAAGTTATGGCGTTTTGAAAATTCAAAAATCGCTAAATTTGGTGCCCCATGTTAATTCAATGGGAAAAAATATGTTTTTGAAGTGTAAAATACGAGATATAGACTAAGCACAGCTAAACATAATGGAAGCCCATAAAAGAAAGGGAGCACAAGACCTTCTTTTCATAAAAATTTGGACACCAAAATGCCTAGGTCAAAATCTAGGTCAAATTCAAAGTTTTTCCTTATTTTTGCGATTCTGACACTACAGATTAATTATATTCTTCGAAATTCTTCTTTGTATACATGTAGCCAAGAGTGTGCTAATAGCGTAAGCCTTTTGCCGTCAGAAAGTATTTTGACCCACTTTTGAGATATGGTGTCCGAAAAGTAGGTCAAAATAAAAAATTCTCCAAATTTTACATATGAGTTATTAATTAAGAGGAGAATTTTCTCAGGAATCCGAATCTGCAAACCAAATTTCGATCCGACTTCCGGTTCCAAAGTTATGGCGTGTCCGAAAAGTAGGTCAAAATAAAAATTCGCCAAATTTAACGTATGAGTTATGAATAAGGGGTAGAATTTTGTCAGGAATCCGAATCTTTAAATCAAATTTCGATCTGACTTCCGGTTTGAAAGTTATGGCGTTTTGAAATTTCGAGAAAAATCGATCTGATGTTATCCTGATAGAAAGTCAAGGAAAAAAGATTTTTTTGAAGTGTAAAATACGAGATATAGATTGAGTACAGCTTAAGATAATGAATTCCTATAAAAGAAGGGGACCTTAAAAGCTACCTAGTTTCAATATTTGGACACCAAAATGCCTAGGTCAAAATCTAGGTCAAATTCATAGTTTTTCCTTATTTTTGCGATTCTGGCACTACACTTTTAGGATTTGCTTCAAAATTTTGTATACAGGTAGCAAAGAGTGTGCTTATAGTGTAAGTCTTTTGCCGTCAGAGAGTATTTTGACCCACTTTTGAGATATGGTGTCCGAAAAGTAGGTCAAAATAAAAAATTCTCCAAATTTAACATATGAGTTATGAATTAAGAGTAGAATTTTCTCAGGAATCCGAATCTGCAAACCAAATTTCGATCCGACTTCCGGTTCCAAAGTTACGGCGTGTCCAAAAAGTAGGTCAAAATAAAAATTCGCCAAATTTAACGTATGAGTTATGAATTAGGGGTAGCATTTTGTCAGGAATCCGAATCTTTAAATCAAATTTCGATCCGACTTCCGGTTCGGAAATTATGGCGTTTTGAAATTTCGGAAAATCGATCTGATGGTATCCTGATAGAAAGTCAAGGAAAAAAGATTTTTTTGAAGTGTAAAATACGAGATATAGATTGAGTACAGCTTAAGATAATGAATTCCTATTAAAGAAGGGGACCTCAAAAGCTACCTAGTTTCAATATTTGGACACCAAAATGCCTAGGTCAAAATCTAGGTCAAATTCATAGTTTTTCCTTATTTTTGCGATTCTGGCACTACACTTTTAGGATTTGCTTCAACATTTTGTATACAGGTAGCAAAGCGTGTGCTAATAGTGAGAGCCTTTTGCCGTCAGAAAGTATTTTGACCCACTTTTGAGATATGGTGTCCGTAAAGTAGGTCAAAATAAAAAGTTCTCATAATTTAACTTATGAGTTATGAATTAAGGGTAGAATTTCCTCAGGAATCCAAATCTGCAAACCAAATTTCAATCCGACTTCCGGTCAAAAATTCCTACTTACCTACCTACTTACCTACTCGGCTACCTACTTAGCTACCTACTCAGCTACCTACTCAGCTACTTACTCAGCTACCTACTCAGCTACTTACTCAGCTACCTGCTCAGCTGCTTACTCAGCTACCTACTCAGCTACTTACTCAATTACTTAATCATCTACTTACTCAGCTTCCTACTCAGTTACTTACTCAGTTACTTACTCAGCTCTTTACTCAAGTAAATCAATCTGGAGTCTTAAATTGAACTTTGTTCAATTTACCAATCTAGTTACTATTGAAGTCAGCTAGTTTAAAACTAACTTTTAAGTAATTTGTTAATGTCATCCTTATTTAAGATGAAATGAGACACACGTCAATCAAAATCTATTTTCGTTTTAAGGTTTAATTATGTAAGTGTTTTCGTGCATAAGTAGTGTGACATATTACATTAACTTCTCATGTAGCTTATTGAATAACGTAACTGGTCTAATAAACGTGTCGTTCTTGCTTTTTCATGCAACAAAAAAAACTGTTATTCCCTCCAAGTGCCATTACAAACAGTTTTGGAGCTATAAGCACGTGACTAGTGCTGCCCTCTGTTACACTCCCCTCCATAAGTTTGGCAACCTTAGCTCCCCCATTGAACTACGTGTTAAAGACTCTTTACGTTTGAATTTTTATTTACTTAACCAGCGATGAAGTAACTTAAAATATTGATAGAAACTTGATTATATTTTCAATACCTCCAAATTTTCTTATTTTTTCCTGAATTACAATAGGTCCAATGGGAAATGGAGGGTTTGGGGCAAATGAGAAATCAGGATATCTTTTCAGTAAAAGATTCAGCAAAAAATATTTGTATGTAGAAAATTGAATTGTCTAGCTTTTTGTACACTTAGTGTTTAGTTTATTTGATGAATACTAAAGTTACAGCGCTTCAGTCATTTTTGAAAATAATTTTTTGCCTCCTGTGTTATTTCAATGGGAGGGGTTTTTTGAAAAACAATTTTGACTTTAAAGCCCTATAACTTTGTTGAACCTGAACAAACATATCAATTTCTTGTGAAATAAAGTTAGCAAATTCAATTGCCTACCTAAGTCGAAATCTTTGCATAGACTTGGTTGGATGGATATTCTGTCATATCACTTGCGGCAAACATACCATTTCCCATTGGTTAACATGGAAATGTCGATTTTCAAAAATTCATCAAATTATAAATAGAAAAAAGAAATTATGATCAATTTTCGTTTTATTGTAATTGAAGAAAACAATTGAAAAAAATTTGGAGGTATTGGAAATAAAGTCAAATTACGTTTTCCATCGCAGGTTAAGTAAATCAAATTTCAAATATAAAGAGGCTTTTTTTAACAACTAGTTCAATGGGGGAGCTAAGGTTGCCAAACTTATGGAGGGGAGTGAATCACCCGTTCATTGGAGGAAATCTCACAAATAATGAAATATGGGTTTGATTTGTATATTGCACCTATCTAGCTAGTCCAAGCTAGCTGGTGTCGTAAACTGTAATCTTATTGGGGATATAAACACATTTCGTTATAATGGAGAGTTTGTAATATGACTTGTTCGTATCATTAAATTGTCGCCGACGTCTGATTTGCTATGACGTACTTAAATAATCCAAAGCAATCAAGATAGTTTGGTCGTTATACGCCATTTGCTTAGAGCTTGGAATAAAATCACAAACAAGTCCATTGTGAAACATTCCTTTTACAAACTTCTTTACTCAATTTCGGCTTTAAATGCTGTTTCGCAAAACCATAATATGTGAATGTTATATATATATTCTTGTACATATGTATATTCTTGTACATATGTATATTCCTGTACATATGTATATTCTTCTACATATGTATATTCTTGTACATATGTATATTCTTCTACATATGTATATTCTTCTACATATGTATATTCTTCTACATATATACATTATTCTACACATGTACATTCTTCTACATCTTTGACTTCCAAGGTGTTGCAGTTTAAGCAACTGAAACCTCGTGAATCAAGATGATTCTTCTTTGGAAATAAATAATTTATAAAAAACATTTTGAGATGTTCATTTCCATCAAACGATCACTAGATTTATATACGTCAATTCTAGACTATGTGTTTGTTTATTCTCGCCATTGTGTTGTTATAGCAACACTTGTTATAGCATCAATCCAAGGAGGATTGGCTCCCAGAATGCAACACCGATATTCTGCAAAACAATCACCTAGCGATAGCTTTGTTGGAGAGTATCGGGTCATTCTCCATGCAGTCGTACAAATTATACAGACACGAATAGCAAATGACGCATGCGTGGAGATTAAAGAATATCGAGTTGGAACCCTGGCTTCCAATCCTCCTTGGCATCAATCTGTATGTTTTATTGAGTCGACGTCATCATCGTATTTGCCATAAGGAACAACAAGATGTAAATTCGGCTCCACTGCACTGTGGACGCTCCTGCTGTGGGGATTGGGCATTCTGAAGAATACATTGTGACCCATAATAGAAACGTGGGTATAATTTAAACAATACATGATTACAAAATATAAACGTCCACTATTACTGATCACAATTTCATATTTTATCAACGGAACTCTAACAGAATTTCAAGAAAAGTGGTGACATATTGTTATAAAGCGCCTATCAAAAAACGCATCAAACAAACAGATCGTAAAACCTCAAAACCAGTAATAACTACATTGATATTACTCAATGTACCACGAAGCCTCATTTCTCATCTTTTTAATGATATATCATTTGTGTTCAATGGGGTCATGGATGACTGAATAATCATTGCATTTGCACAGTGGGTCAAAATAGGTTCGGGAAAGTCATCGCACAGGCCTGGTGCTAAACTTGGCAAAGAAACGACATGGTGATGACTGCATTGATTTCATTTATGTACCATAAAGCAACATTCCTCCTCTTTTCAGTCATATGACATTTATTTACATGGGGCCATGTACGTATTGGTGAATAATCAGTTCTTTTGGACAATGGGCCTAAATCGGCTAAGAACCATGTTTTGGACATGGCAAAAACCAGCGCATAGGCCCAGGTCCCTTTGGAAGAAGGTGTGGCAGGTGTGGCATAGACAATTAAGTGTTCATAATCACAATCTTGCAAGATTGCATCACATGTCCCCTCACATGGCCACCATTTCTTTGCACACAGATATGGGCTCATCTACCCATGCATGATTGCATCTCACACAGAGCTCTTTGAGTCATCTTTGGGTTTTGGGTGGAGTCCTGGCATGTTGATGATTATTTTTTGATGTGTTACAATGTTGTGGAGGGTGATGAACACCCTGCTCTTGAGATAGTCGCAAAGGAAAAGTCACAAGTCAGACATGTCAGGTCAGGAGATCTTCCAATAGCACGAGGCTCATACACTTCAACTTTTGCAATGTCTAAAACTTGGTCGAAAACTGATTTCGGCTCACTGTACACTATAAGGAATGATTATTCAGCCAACTTTGACCCCATGTAAATATATAAATGACATATCATTGGAAAGGGGAGAAACATAGCTTAATGGAAGAGTAAATGAAATTGATACAGTTATCGCGGGTGGTCGGCGTTCTGTGGTTAGTGTTCGGCGTCTGTAACAATTGGCAGGTGTTGTCATTTTGCATGTCAATGCAATTTCAATAGCTTGGAATTTCGTCATCTTTTACTCACGTTTTTGATGAAATGTAGGATGGAACTCTTGTAGGTCCGTATGACAAATCCTTGTAATGATTATATTGTTGACATTCGCGTATTGATCTGGCTCAAGAGAAGTTTTTCGTCCAAGAACGTAGACGTTTGGATCAGGCGTACACGTGCCATTTGCGTTTAGCGTTGCCCCCATAATGCACTCCACAGTAATGGCGTAATTCACATAGTCCGTACTAACAACATACAATGCTCTATCGGCTGAAATGAAGGTGGATGATGAAAAATTAGAGAGTGTCATGAAACTGAAAGGTATAAGAATTGTAGAATAACAATAAAAGAGTAGCAATAAATTGGTAAAACAAAAATCAAAATATGGGATAGAAAATAAAAGAGTACATTTGAAAATTAGAAGGTGTAATGAAACAATGAAACAAATGAAAAAGCGGAGACATTTCAAAGGGTAGAATGATAAAACGCGAAGCAAAGGGAACCAATTAACATATATTTACTGAATCAAACCAATACTTATCGTGATTACTATAATTAAAAGAAATGTTATGCTGAATGTTAAAATCTTGGAGTTTGTTCGAAAATTGTGTACTTTGGAGCTTGTAATGAATTACCAAATGTGCCTCGTGATGTTTTAATTCTCCAAGTAAGTCTAGCGGGATGAGACGGAGGCCCTGCAATGAGTTGATGCCCGGACCATTTGACGCAAGCACCAGTGCTAAAGATATATTGAAAATAATCTTATTATGATTCATAATCGCAGATTATCTTTTATAGCTACTAAATGTCAAAGATATTTTCTTTGTCTTCATGCCATGTATTTCATATGTTGCGTGTAAACCTTAAAGCTTGTCTCTGTCAATGCGTTCTTGGAAATTATATGAGCCCATTGGATTAACTGAATTTAATAAGAATGCCTGCTAAAAATACGAATTACCCTCAAAATGCATTCATATTCTTTGACCTCCTGGTACATTTTAATTCTCAAGACGATAATAAAAGGTATGAAGTGGTGAGCTAAGGGGAGATACATACGAGGTAGACCCCCCCCCCTCATAAGTTTGGTAACTAGGAGGCCATTTCCGCGAGTCAACGCCTGTTAATGTCTAATGCATTTAAAAATTGCTATCAAACGTTCTTTATAAATCGAAACTGTTGTAATAAAAATAGAGATTCACACTATCAAATGAAAACGTCGGCTTCTTTATGGAGGGAAGGGGAGTCTACAACTGTACATGTTCCTGAATATCTTTTGAACATGAACTTCTCTTAAGCTCTTGTCGAAGGCAAAACATTCAAGGTCTCTTTAATTTAGTTTATTTTTTTCAAAAATGTAATGCAGCTAAACTACCTCCGAACAAAGAAATTCTAAGAGATTGTATGTCTGTCAATATCAGATTTTCTTGAATCAGCACAGTCAAAATAACCGGATCTCGAAATAAACTCACAAAAATAAATCATGGCAACCTGTAACTTACATCGTTAATGGATTTTGGTAATATTTCATAGCCAATCACTAAACAGACTTTAACATTCAACGGGGAGTCAATGATGCCAAACTTTTGCTGGTGGTGTACTTACCTATTTCGTGGTCGCCCGACGGTCATATAGTCCGCCATAATTAATGTTCTACTAGTAATGATCCTGAAATGGTCATCCCATTTATTGTCCTTGTTCACAACACGGTGAAACCAAGTGCTCAACTCGAACCATCTTCCCATAAACTGCAATATTCTATATATTATTAGTTCGTGTTTCCCATAACGGTGATATATCAAATGCACTTAGACTTGATGCCAGAACCAAGGAAATTTGTACAAGCTTAAAGGTGCAACAATTAGTGAAGAGGCGCCATTCAACGATCATGGACAAGCGTCAAAATATATTTAAGTTTAGATATGTCATCTAGACTAACATCCATTTTTATTATCTACAAAGAAATCCCCTGGATTTCAGCTGATATTCCTCTTGAAACATGGTGGATCTTAAAAATATAAAAGTGGATTTCCCCTTTTGAAGCTTTGAACTGAATTTACACTTCCTCATGCTGAAATTGACATTTTATCCATGCATTTTAAGAAAATAGGTATGTCAAATAAGATGGTAAGCCAAATGTTGCTTTGATAGCTCAGAAACGTTTTCCTATTTTCTCTCGACAGGCCTTGTTACCCCTTTAATCATCCTCCGATCGCAGGGGTCAAGCCATCATTAACTCTGTTCCTATTTCCTTCTTCCGAAAGAAGCGTTTATCCGAAGGAAGCAATTAAAGGAGCAGAGTGGATGATGTGGCTGGATCCCTGCGTTCGGAGGTTGATTTAGTTTTCATATCACAAAAATCGGTTTATATACTTACTCTGTTGAACTCAAAATTCGGTTGCAATTCTAAACTTGTCATGTTGAGAATACATTTCTGCGACTCCACTCTGCCTAGAAAAGTAACTAATCCCAGAAGGACGGAATTTAAAATAGCAGAAGCCATTTTTGTGTTCGATTTGTACGGATGTATAAACATGTAAAGTATGTATATTCAATGCGAATGTTACTTTGATATAATACAAGTGTATGTACGTATACATAGATATATCATCAAGTTAATTTTTAGTTGTTGTTAATTGATTAATATCAAAATGAACCAAAGTGTTCTTATCTATAAAAACTCAAATCATAGTACAACTTATATTTGATAAACTTTTGATGAACCTGCAGTAGTTTCAAGGGTTTTGTTTAAAAGATTTAAAAAAAATAAAAAATTAGTCACGAAAGGTCGAACATGTACATAAGGTTTATGTACTGAGAGGTTTTGGATACAGGGTTTATCCCAAGGAAAATGTGTTAGTATAATTTTTCTGAGAGATAAACCCTGTGTCAAAGACATTATAACATATCCATGATGAAGCTTGATACAAGGCTTATACATATGAAAAGAATACATTAATACATGATTTCTATGTTGTGTTATTTCAATTTACCCATTATATATATCCCATACCTACTGAGGTTCTAGGTACGTTATACCTCATACAGTTTCAAAATTCCTAAAAGTATTTGTTAAGAAATTGGAAGTTTTAAGAATATGTTACAGAAGCCGAATGCCGGACGCCAATCAACCGCCAGAAGACAACCGCCGTCACAAAACGTTGGAGACCATAATAATATGAAAATTATCACATTGATCATAACTACTTTAATTAAAGATCTTTTTAATTGAGACTTGAATTTCAAGATTCAAATTCACATTATGGTACTATTACATTTCTTTTTAATGTACTATTGCACTACAATATGGTACTATTGCACTTTTGCACATGTTTCACTTTTTGTATGGTACTATTGCGCATTCATCTAATACTGTACTCTTGCTCTCCTGTGGTACTATTGCACTTTCTTTTTTAGTACTATTGTACTTCTTTTTATGGTCATATTCTTGCAAAAGAAATCTTGTGTTATAGAATACTATTGCACTTATTTTTATTTTCTCATATATTCATCTTTTATAATATCATTCATACTCCCAACATAACTGCACATTTTAAGTAATATTACTATATCTCCATTTTTGGTTCATTTTTTCAAGCTTGGCAGGCCGCCCAAAACTCGATCGAAAATAGTCCTTGATTTTCGTTTGTATGATAGAATGTCTCTGCCTACTGTGTTGAATGCATCATACACTGTTTCTGCGTCTTCCGAAGCGGATACTTCTATGAAGGGACAGTCTAGTTCTCGTCCAAGCTCTTGGCCTGAAAAAATGAAAAATGCGTGAACGCTTTTGAAATTATATGAAGTATAGTACTGTACAAAAATATAAAAGTATCATATATACGAGAGACAATTAAAACTTCTGAACGCAGTGTTTGAAACGACCAAGGGCGTCTGGGCTTTTTGATGAATTACGTATACGCCATATTTACCTCACATTTGATTCCTTGAAATAGTTGATCAACTTTCGATCGGGAACGATTACGAAAGATATGTTTGATTTTCGTCCGCCATTTTATGTGTGAACATTATCAATTTATATTAAAAATGCCAAGTCATGAATATTATGTAAATTCCACCAACTTAATAATCTCACACCCAAACATTTACCGCTGGTTAAAACTGGTTTTGGATTGTACCCTTTAGGCATACTCTTTAAAGGTCACACTTTACACACTTACCGTCTGCCCTTGTCACCTGTCGCACATGTCCCATGTCAGACTTATTCCCTACTAAAACCAGGGGAAAACCACATTTTCTAGCATCAATGATTTTTGATCCTAAGTCCTTAACGTAGTCAAAAGACTTCCGACTGGTGATCGAGTAGATTAGTAAGAATCCATCCGCCCAGCGGATTATATCGTCCTTCGCACAACCTTCCGGACCCTGGAAGACAAAGTAACACTCCATTGAATTAAAGGCAATCCTTAGTCACTTTCGGCTTGCTACACTATCCTCGGCCTATAGTATAGGTGTCAAGTATTAACCGGTTAACCGGTTAACCGCCGATAATGCCTTGACCGGTCTGAGTTTTTATGGGCGGTTAGTTGACCGTGTATAATTCTGTATAGGCCCTATACTACTTCACACTTTTAATTCTGATACGATCGTTAATACCCCTTGAGAATAGAAGTTTCATGGTTGTTAAGGGGAGTTTCATGTAGGCAGATCATGTATTGCGGTTATTTTCCGACTAAATATCCTGATTTTAGGTAGGATGCCTAGAATTACAGAAATGAATATAATGAATAATGATCGATAGATCAAAGAATTGTCTGTCCCATTTAAACAGTGCCTTAGTCCAATGGAGACCTTTAGAGGGTAGTCCAAGAAGAGAAATACCCTATGGCAAATCATCCCTAGTTCACGTTACCTTACATAACTCAATGGGCGAAGGGGTAAAAGCGCAATTTTTTATTTTGAGTTATAGATACATATGGCCCTAGTGGGCTATCTGAGGTTCAGACGCAGTGTCTACGCGATCTCCTTTTGACACTAAACTCAAGAGGGGTCAAACATCTGCTTTTTGGAATAATCGGCGACACTACCTCTTCTCCCCCCGCCGCCAAAATGTGAAATTTACAAAAATGGAGCCACCATTGCTACCTCAATTAATCCGAAAATTTCCTTCAGATAACCAAAATAAATTCATTTTCAGAAAAAATGGCATGTTATCATGGTGAAGAGATGACAACCGTACCTTTACAGTTACGGACATACCAGCTTACGGACTCGTCATAACAATTGTGTTGGGAACATTTACGAACTGGTCTGAAATTTTTGAAGAAATATTTTCATAAAACCTGAATACAATTTGTTATGTCTCCTTTAAACTAAACTATGAGAAGTAGACATTCTCAGTTCGCTATCAACTTTTACTGGGTTGAATCGATTATGTTTTTCTAATCTTAGACTCTTTGGGGATGGATTATATTCTCTGCACCCGTCTTGGATTCATTATCTAGCGAGAGGCGTGAACAGTATGCCGAACTTCTTAATTTCACGTACATACAGGGATGATAATAGAAAAGAAAGCGGATGGGTGTAAATCTAAATCCTCTTACTGCAATCTACTCAAACCTCATATCAGGTTGTTTTGGGTTGTTTGTTTGTTAATTGTTTGGTTGTTTGATATGATGGATAGATGGATGGGTGGTTGTGTGATGAGCCGAGGACGCCCTAGGGGAGTGATTAACTCACACGCATATAGTGTAACTAGCCAGATGCCATCTTGGATTTTTAATATCTGGATTTCCGAGGTATGACATTTTCATATCGAAAATCAAACTGGTAAACTAGTATGGCAAGATACAAAGATGCAAGAAAGTGTACAAAATTCATCGCTCGGTGTTGGAATCGAGCCTGGGACCCTTTTAGCAAAAGACTAGTACTCTTCGAAGAGGTTGCGTTCAATGTTGCATTGAGGGTTTGAATGAAAAAACTTTTTATTTTTCAACAAAATGTCGGAGAACATACCTTGCAACACGTGTCGAGTATCTCAAAGGTGACGTAGTCACTATCAATCTGTGAGTTGTGTCGATATTTATTTTCTGCAATAATAGAAAAAGCATTGTGACATGTGTTTATTTTTAAGACCCTAATTTTTCAGGATGGATAATTGACTAGGTGAAAGAAGAAACAATTTTAATTTTAAATAATATTCAAAACTCAATCAAAGTGATGTCATATTTGACGCCTGTACAGTACATAGAAAATTACATCTGTAAATGTGGTTTTAAAAATTGTAAATCAACTTTTTTATTTTACTTTCTTTGAAATTGATATTTCTAGAACGGTTAAATTTCCTTAGACCCCACGATCACACCGGAATAGCCTGACTACGGTAAAGTCAGACACTGTTAGTTGTCACAAATGGCGGACATACTCGCTTCAACTGTTTAATCACTTGGTCCTCATTTCATGGGATTTTATTGTCGCTAATTCTGTGCATTTGTGAAATCCCATTTTCGATCAAATTGGATCGTGAATCGCCACAACATATAGCGTCTGTGATATCGTTAATGACAACGGAATCTGAAATTGAGTAATTTAAAAAGACAACGGCATGTGGTAATTAGTGTCCGTTGTCCCGTATTTCATTTTGATCGGTTAAACTAAAGACTTTATTTCGATGGTAGGACATTATTAACTGTACAGTGAGTATTAAGACACTTTGATTGATTGTTGTTCCAAAGGAATTTAGTCTAGGTGCTCTATTAAGTTTAGTTTATTATTTATTAAAGTGTCACAGGCATATTATTTTACATAATTATACGTACAATTATTCAAAAGCCCCAAGCCAACAATGGCTTATGAGACACTGTCCATCTCAGAAATATTGCTAATAAAATGATTGATTTTGAATAAAAAAAATTAAAGACACAAAATCAGTCAATTACTAGTACGTCGAATAATCCACTGATGCTAAGAAGGCTTATTTATGATACATGTAGGCAATGAGAGCCCAACATATTAATTGTAATATCCATGACATTTTACTCCAAGTATATCAACTCAGCCGGCTATTGTTTGTCGAATCTCACTCACATAATGTTCCTTAAATTCCAATCAAGCGTGTGAGCATTGACCTAAATTAGGTTACCAGATTATATCATAAGTCCACCGCAATGTTTGTTTTATAACGTCCAAAACTTGAATGTAGGATGGCCCATGAATCCAAATAAATTCATGTAATCCTGGATCCCCTGGCCTTAATGTTATTGCTCTGTTGTGGCCAGAGTTTACCGAATCTCTGCATATTCCTCAAAGTATATTCCAATTCTAGCTGTTTCCTGGTCTTTTGCTGCTTCACATGTATATATATCTTTTATTGACTCTCTGATGTCATTACAATGACATATTAGTCACTAAAAACTACAATCTACAAAACTGACCTAAGACTAAACTAACTATTGAATACAAAAATAAAGTTGTTGTCAAATACAATTCTAATTACATCATCAAATGTAAAATACAGAATACAAGATTATTGTAAAATACAAATATAACTTGACAGAAATTTAAATATCAGTGTGATGCATCGTGGACATATTAATCCAATTTTTTGAGTGAATGATAGATGAACTTTGCTAAATGTAAAATTACATAAGAATTTTTGTGAGACATTAGTTTTTTTAAAATAGTGTCAGGACTGCCTACAAAATTAAATCGTGTAAGGGTGTCAAACAAAATTTTTCTTTCTGTAGTGTTTTTCTTACAAATCATGATGAAGTGTTGTTCATCTTCTAAAATACCACAAATATTACATAAACGTTCATCTACAGGTTTTGGCTTTGGCTTTAAATGACGACCAAGTTCTATATGTAACTTGTGGGAACTAAGCGTAAATCTACAAATTGCTTGCCTGTAATTTTTATTTTGGATATTTAAATAACTCTCTCTTTCAAAGACATTTTTGAATTTAACATAAGTTCTCAAGACAGGGTAATTTAATATATCTTTGTTCCATTGAGTTTTATAAGTCTGATACAGTGTTTTTGTTATTGTCTTGATAAAAATATTGTCATCATCAATCTTTTGAGTATCCCAATAAGATAATTAATCACACTTTTTAAAATATCAATGACTTTGTTTGACCAAGTGCCTTTAAAACCAAATTGACTCATTTCACGGTCATATATATATGTTTTATGAAGAATGTTTCCTGGTGATGGGTGAAGTAAACGGAGCCAATATTTAATTAATTTGATTTCAAAACGTATTTTTAATGGGTAGCGTCCCAATTCTCCATAAATTGCTGGTGTTGCAGTTGATTTTTTAACACCTAATAGACATTTAAGAAAAGATAGGTGCATTGTCTCTATTGACTTCAGATGTTTTTCATTGATCCACACCTCCGAAGCATAAGTTAAAATAGGTTCAACTAAGGAATCGAAAAGGTGCAATGCAACATTAACTGGAATGTCATTCAATTTTTTATATTTCTGTTTAACTTTAAACTAAGCTTTCCTTGCTTGCTCTTTCAAGTAAAATACATGCTGGTCAAAATTCTTTGTTTTACTTAATACACATCCAAGATATTTGTACTGCTCAACATTTTCTATTGCACTATCATTGAATCTGAAAACCGCATCAACTTTTGAGTTAAAAATAATTGATTTTGTCTTCATTGTGTTAACTATGAGATGATATCTCTTACAAAAATCAAAAAGGCAATTGAGCAAAATTTGGGCACCATCTTTACTATTTGACATCAAGATAAGATCATCAGCCCAAAGTAAATGGTTTAACATATTTCCATTAAATTGAATACCATTTTCTTTTGGTAAATTATCTTTTAAGTCATCAAGGAAATGGTTGAATAAATAGGTACTAAGTACAGAGCCCTGCATTAATCCAACATCTGTTTCAAAAGTAGGGGTGATACCTTCTTTAAATTTTAGGCATGCTTTTGATTTTTCATACATACTAGATATAACCTTGAATATATTAGAATAAGGTAAAATTCCTGATTTACAAAGTTTATACATAAGCGCCACTCTATTTACATAGTCAAATGCTTTTCTAAAATCTATCATGATACAGTATAGAGGCTTTTTCATGAGCTTATAACGGGCTAAGATTGTATTTAAAATATATAAATTATCTGTTGTTTGATGTCCAGGTTTATATGCCCCATGGAGTGGATCTTGGATATCTAACATTTCAGCATTAAAAACAAGTCTGTTTTGTATTACTCTATCAAAGATATTACTGATACAAGTCAACACATTTATTCCCCTATAGTTATCAGGATTAAATCTGCAACCTTGTTTAAAGAGAGTTGTTAACATGCCTATACTCCATTCATTAGGGTAGTCACCATGAGAAAAGATGTGATTAAAAAGGGACGTGAATTCAGGGACTAATATACTGCAATTCTTAATGATATTAGAAGATAACCCATCTATTCCAGGTGCTTTGTTAACTTTAACCTTATTGAGAGCAGCATATACCTCAGGTTCCTTTATATTGCTATTAAGCACTTCATGACTAAATCCAATTTCTCTGCTCAAAACACTATTTTTATCATATTCATCTATAAATAATTGCATCTCTTTTAATGCTCCATCATCAAAATAGTCTATTTTGGGATTCTTACCCAACTTTTCAAAAGCACAAAAAAGTTCTGATGCCTCAATAGGGATTTCATTTGTATTACTGCTACCTGGGATACTATTTATCATTTTCCAAAATTCTGTCTGATTTTTAGATTTGAAAGAAATGAGAGATTTTAAAAGATTTGACTGATATGTTCTTTTCTCGCGCTGTTTAGTTTGGTTATACGTTCTCTGTAAATCAGCAATAATGTTATTAGGTAGCTTCTGCTTAATTGCAGAATGTAAATCCTTTTTCAATTTTTTGCATTCACTGTTAAACCATGGATTCATTGGGAACTTTTCAGTACTTTTCTTTAAATGTTCAAGTGGGAGTATTTTATCAGAAGTGTCATATATAACATGTTTAAGAGACTGTATAGCGCAGTCAGATGTCCAGAAATGAGCCCTTTATAGTTCGACTTTTTCAGGAAAGCAACAAACTTGGCACAGTTGTAGAAACACTTGATCTGAGTGGAAAATGATTTCGGGGCAAGTGATCCGGAGTGGTCTTCATGGATTTTTTAGTCTCTGACCCCAACCCCTATCAGGCGGGGAGGGGGTACATTATAAAAAATAAATAAAAATGGTTGTGAAGTAAATTCTTTTAAATGACTTCATTTGGTGATTGCTCTGAGCCTTGAAATTGAGACAAACCGATTGTAGATGTGGTGTTTTGTGTGGAAAATGCATTTTGACCCAATTATCTAGCGTGAATTCATCTTTTAAAGGGTCAAATATGGGACATCAAGTACTGTATTTCAAGAATGTGATGTCTGATCATCTTGGAAAAATTCATACTAATAGGGGTATAAGTGTTCATCACAAATATAGAATATGGCTTGGTTAGCTCATGTATTTTTTGAGATAAAAATTATCGAAATTTGAATTTTTAAGCCCTTGCGGACTAGGGGTAACCTTATTCTACCTTAATAATTTTTAAGATATGCAATATATGGGTCTCATATGAGCTCAAAATGGTGCATTGAGTCTTGTTTTGTCATATTATTCCTAATTGGATTGAAAAATGATTGGAACTTTTCAAAAAAAAAAAAAATTTCATTATCACTTCTGAAGGGCCAGGGGTAACCATATTTTACCTTAATAACTTTCAAGGTTTGTAATATATGTATCCCAAATTAGCTCAGGATGGTGCATATAGTTCTGTTTAATCATAATACCTCCAATAAGATGTAGAAAATGATTGGACATTTCTTAAAATTTGAAATTTTCATTTTAGCTTATGATGGCCTGGGGGGGGGGGCTTATTTAACCTTGAACTTTTCTTAATTATGAGACTTGTGCATCTCAAATGAGCTTAGAATTGTGTCATATACTCTTGTTTTGTCATATTATTCCTTAGGGGATGTAAAAAACTAGACATGTAAATTGAACAAGTTCAATTTAAGACTCCAGATTTAAACCTTTTTTCAAGCTGAGTCATCCAATTGTAA